AGCGCAAACCTCCCCAGGAGACGGCCACCAGCAACAAGGTGGCCGAGCCGATGAACATAGCGTTCCCCAGCCAGTCCATGTCCTCGAGTTTCTTACGCATTTCATCAGCCGGAGACGCAATGTTGACAAGCCAGGGCACGAGAACAAGTCCAGCCGCACAAAATGGGAACATGATGTAGAAAATCCAACGCCATGTTGTGTGCTGAGCGATGACGCCGCCTAGTATAGGACCCGCACAGTTGCCCAACGCCCATGCTGCCTGACTAGAGATGAAAGGCGCGGTCAGCAGGAGGAAGAACGAGCCCGGAAGAGAGTATCCTCACACTACGCCGTACCACGTAGGCCGGACCGGCAAAGGGACAAAGTCGGTGAAAATCAACAGGCATAAGACGATGATGCCAGCACCGCCGATGCCTTGGAGAGACCGCCCCACCAATATCAAGCCGATGGAACGCGACACGCAGCACAAGACCGTGCCCAGAGTGAAGAAAGCGACCGAGATGGTCAGGCATGGCCGTCGACCGAACACGTGGCTCAGATCCGCTATGAATAGCATCAGCACGGCGTTGGCTAGGAGGTACGCCGTGCCTATCCAAAAGCCGTCGTACGTGCTGAGCTCGAGGTCTACAACGATAGCCTATGACTATGAGCATGCCAAGGATGGAAAGTGTTTGGGAGGATATCGAACCTGCAAAGAGGTCACAATGTGTCGGATTGGAAGTCCAATTCGACCTCGGCGTACGGCCGGCCGCGCAGGGGCCAATTACGGCCCCTACTACCGATTATCGCGGCCTGCCCAACCTACGGTTGGAACCTCCTTTTTACACCTACGCAGAAATTCATATAGTTCAATTGATCTCTTCGTCAACCCACGGTTCGAACCAATTACCCTGTAATAGGGATACCAACACTGATCAGTGGTTAAATTCCACTATCGCAGATCGGCAAGGCATCTCGCTACGCAGAAGAGACGACCTCCTAATACCGCACGGGATAGGAGATTCGTGCTAATCAACCTCACGGAAGCAGACGAAAAAGGAGGCGATTCTCGAATGCCGCACGGAATCGAGTAATCGTAGACCTTTACTGCCCACGAGAGGTCGACGTCCACCACGTCAAACCACGCCAATTGACGGAACCGCTTGAGCGACCAGCCTTTCGCCGTCGCCTCAAGCAGCTTTTCCACCAAACAACTGTCCCGCGGGCGGCCCGCGATCAGAAATCAACCGGTCAAATCGGCAGAAGGAAATACCTACGCGGCGACTGCCCGCCCAATCAATCAGCGCGACGACCGAGCTCGACAGTACGGTATAAAAGAGCACCGCGCGATCGAGGAAAAGGATCTCCAAACGCAGACATTCTTGCTCGGCGGCAAAGGTACCCTTGTGGGAATTGTGAAGCCAAGAGATCTACGGTGTACGGAAAGGTCCACCACCACGAGGATCTCACGGATACGACCTCAAGCCCGCGATCTAGACGATCTCCTCGTAGCTCCCTCAACTACCCCCCGGGTGTTACTCAGGAATACAGTGTAGGGGACGGTCTGACGAGGGAAGAGGGGATTCAGAGGTCCCAACGGCATCGAGGCACGAGTATAGCGAGCATCGGGGGTCAACCAACCCAGGAAGAAGGCGGCCACTCCGAAGACGTCTTGCGGCCTCCTGCCAGAGTGATAATTGGCCCAAGAAAAGGCCAAGAAGACACGGCTCTGAGGGGAAAGGAAAAGAACCCTCCAGAGGGCCGCTGAGGAGCTTCCTTTTTATACTGGCTCCCAGCACGAGATCACCAATTTCGAGAAATCAACCAAGCAACAGAAGGGATTGCCGGCAAGCGACAATTGCCCAACAGCAATTGAGCTACGAAAAAGACTGCCCAAGAGATATAAAATAGGGCACCGAGAAGCAGCAAGAGAAAAGATCTCCAAGGCATCTGTCCCCACCTAGTACGAGCGACGAGTGGGCATCTTCGACAAGTCCTTGAAACCCGCGATCTCACGAGAAGGAGGGCTCAACTTCGCCAACCGTACCCAACTGCCCATCCAGCTCCCAACAGCCCATACGGCTCCTCTACGAGCCGCCCGGCGTCTACTTTCGACTGTTCCTCCGGAATACCGCCCTAGAGGAGGTAGGTCGAGGAAGGAAGCAATTCAGAGATCACGTAGAGCACGAGGCTCAGAAGGTTGAAAGTGTACGGAACAGCGGAAACCGGCAACCGGCAAAGATCCCGAGACCAATCACTTCGTCTTCCTACGGTGACACAGACGTCTGCCGCTGCTGTTGGAAAAGGAACTGCCAAAACCTACCTTTTTATACTAGACGAAAAGGAGGATCCCAGCAGGTACGATGGCCAGCGATCCAGAAGGGCAGCAGCAATCGCCAGAGATGGTAGAAACGAGAGCAGCAGCGAGACGGCGAGAGGAAGCGGGAACCGCCCAGACCCCGACAAATTCGTCGGGCAGCGAAAGCACGGGTTTGCTACAGCCAACGCGCGGATCAGACATATCCCCGTCAAGATCAAACACGCCAGCAACCGCCAATACGGGCACAAGCCAGAGCACGACCCCCAGCGAGTCAGGGCAAGGAAGAAGAGGAAGAAACCCAATCCCAGACGGAATCCCAATCCCTCACAAGTGGGTGAATATCAACCCAGACTATTGGGGAACGTGGATGTACAGAATCGCGGATCAACCCAACGGCGAGCAAATTGACGCGGCACTGATTTATTTGACTGAGGTCTACGAGAGAAAGGGGCTGCAGGGACAACCCCTGTTCTACGAAATCGCAGACGACCTCAGCCATTGGCCAGACGGATGGTTCGCAAGCGCAAGCCCAGGGATCGCGAAAGCAGTCAATGGATTCCTCCATGGGCGAGGGGTATTACCAGCGCAATTACGATCGCGAGAACCGCACGAAATCCTAGCAGCGACGATTGCAGAGGAGGAATTTGTGCCATGGAGCCAGGCACAAGTCGACAGAGCGTACAATCGCTTTGACGAATTCAGAAAAAGGGTGAACGACCCAGATTTCCTTCCTACAATTACCAACGGCAATCTGTCGTCGCAGAAGGATATACAGAGGCAAAATATGGTGCCAGAAGTACGACAATCGACAATTCCGCCTATTTCGATCCACAGCTCGTCGCCGCTGCCAATGCGAAATTCGGCGCCAATCGGCCAACAGGAAAGGAGGCAGACGACCCGAAGTCACCAACAATACGCAGCGACGCAGGGATCGCATACAGATACCGAAAATATGGCGGCAACTACGAGGCAATTCACAGACCTCAAAAAGATCTTCCCGAGAGAGAAATTGTACTCTGGGGGGAAGTACGAGGTCTTGCAAGAAACCCTGACGATGTTCTACGATTACTGCGAAAAAGTCGGGATCAGGGAACACCAGTACCATTCGGTAATTAATGTCGTACTCGCAGGCAAGGCCTCTGATTACTACTACGAAGCGGTGCGTAATCTCGATCGAAACGACTTTCTCGGCATTATTGACGCAATCCGAAGCCGCTTCGAGACCCACGATAGGAATCTAGAGCTCCTATCTGAGCTACGAGCGATTTCTTTCGCATCTGTGGCCAGGACAATGGAGGGCAAATCGCGAGTAGAAATCCTCGAAGAGCTCATCGATCGAATCGACAAGCTAGCGAAAACCCAGCCGAATGAGGGGACCAACGAGCGGAAGGTCGGATATCTCTGTACCGCAGTCCAACGCGTACCAGAGGCAAAAATAACCCTGCACCAAGCACCAGAAGACTACGAGACGCTCTGCTCGAGGCTGAGATCCAGCTTCAACATTGAGGCGAGGATGCCGCGCCAAACCCACCTCCAGGCGTACGACGGCCCTCACCAGCAGCATTGGGTCGATCGAACGTACAATGGGAAAGGAAAGGAGACCAGGTACGGCAATCGCCAGCAGGGAGGCCCAGATTCGTCAAATGGGCAGAGATTCAACTCGCGAGCAGGGCAACGGAAGAAGCAGTGCTTTATTTGCAAAAAGGATGGATGTTGGTCAAGCAACCACTCCGAGGAAGAGCGTGCCAAATCGTACGAACAGTATAGAAAGTCGAGGGCAGCAGACGGCAAAACAAGCCCTCATCGGTTCAACCAATTCCTCGTCATATATGAGGGCAGATCCGGGGGCACGGAACCCAGCGAAGGCAACCAAATTGGCGGCCTGAAGCATCCACCCCCCATGGGAAATACGGAAGATGAGGAAGATCTCACCCCCTATACCGACGAATTGGATTACGACGAAATCGACGATATCAACCACTCGTTCTTCGCCCCGTCAGCCTCCGGAGGATATACGAGGCTGAACGAACAAAAGGCAGTGGAAGCTCTGAATGAGCAGGCTTTCATCCACGGATGGCAAGGGAAGGTCCCTCAGACGACGGATACGGAGGTGGCCGAAAGGACGAATCCAACAGCGCAGAATTCCATTCTCTTGACACCTGAGGAGAAATTGGTGCCTCTCTTGACATCTGAAGAAAAGAAACATGGTGCCGAGCAATTCCAGGGGCAGCCAGAGGGGTCCTTTTTATACCACCCAGATCACTCGAATGCTGAGCTCGTACAGGCATTCCACGCAAGCGAAAGATACGGCCCAGACAATTTCCATGGGATTATCCCCGACACTGGGGCATCGCAATGGTCAACAGGAGGAAAAGGGCAATTCCAGGCGCTACAGAAAATCGCGCCAGTAACGCTCAATACGTCGACGGCGGGCATTGCGAGAATCAGCTTCGGCCCAGGCGAGGAAATCGTCGCCCTGGGTACGGTGGAAGTTGAGACGCACTTCGGAACGATGAATTTCCACATTTTGCCCGTCAATACCCCATTTCTCCTATGTCTGAAAGACATGGATCGACTGGGCATTATATTCGACAATACGAGGAACAGAATCTCCAGCGGCAAACACTTCGAGACAGTCGAACGACGATGGGGGCACGCGTTCATGAGGCTCAGCAACGATACGAAGTCGATTAATTACCTGACGGAAAATGAGCTCCGACGACTACACCGGAGGTTCAGCCACCCGTCAGTCGCGAGGCTGTACAACCTCCTGAAGCAATCGGGTAATGATGATGTCGAAATAGGGGCGCTGGAGCAGTTAACGAAAGTATGCCACCAATGCCAAATGAATGCGCAGAGCCCACGCAGATTCAAATTCAAATTGCGTGATGAGCTCAATTTCAATTGGGAAATCGTCGTCGATATCTTCTACTTGAACAGTCGACCGGTCATACATATAATCGACGAGGCTACATCATTCCAGGCAGGGCAATTCCTGCGGGATCTGCAAGCAAAAACAGTATGGGCAGCTCTACGAAAAAGCTGGATCGACACATACCAGGGACCGCCAGACGGCATCAGAACCGACGCTGGCACCAGTTTTAAGTCAGCAGAATTCAAGGAAAATGCGACGGCCTACGGTATACAGTTGAAAGTCGTGCCCGTCGAAGCGCACCACAGCATTGGAAAGGTAGAAAGGGCGCACCAGCAGTTGAAAAGAGCGTTCAGAATCATCAAAGAGGAAAATCCCGATTCCGACGACGACGAATGCCTCCAGACGGCACTCAAATGCTGCAACGACACCATGGGGCATAACGGGCTCATACCGACGCTTTTGGTATTTGGAGCATATCCAAGAACGACCTCAGCCTCGCCACCGTCGCCAGACGTAAGCCAACGAGCCCGAGCAGTCGAAAAAGCAATGCGGGCGCTGCGCGAGGTGAGCGCAAGAAGGCAAGTCAACGAGGCAATTGCTGCGCGCAATGGGCCCGACATAGGGGCCAATTTGGACATGCCGCTGAATTCGGATGTACGAGTATGGCGCGAAATCACTCAGCAGTGGGCTGGACCATACAAATTGATCTCCGTCGATGGGCGTTCTTGCGTAGTCGCGAGAGATCGCGACCAGCCACTCGAAGTATCAATTACCGCAGTCAGACCATATCATATGGATCCCATCGAGGTGATTTCCAACCCACAAGAAGAAGAAGAGCCAGAGGAAACCGTACAACCCGCGGCAGAGGCACAGGAAATCATCCTCGACGAAATCGTCGTAGCAGTGCCAACAGACGACGAGGAAGAGGAAATTGCCGAAAGGGCACCAGTACCACCGGCGAGACGTCGCGGAAGACCACGACGACAAGCCCCAACGCGGCAATTTATCACCAGCGACGAGGTAATCAACACTTTTTATACGGCAAAAGAGAAAGCCGATTTCGAGCTAGCAGTCAAACTACGCAAGGAAGGCGTAATCACAACTGCTGGAAAGCCGTATGAGGGATCAGATCTCATCGAAGCAGACACTCTTCGCGATCGAGGGGTCTATCGATTTATCCTCTACGACCCAGAAAAGCATGCAAACCTCCGCATATTCAAATCGCGAATGGTGCGCGAAATCAAAGGAAAAGGAACACCTCAACCGTACGAGAAATCCAGGCACGTAATTCAGGGGTACGGCGACGTCGAAAAGGCGACGCTGCTCACGCAATCGCCCACAGTACAGCGCTGCAGCCAACGATTAATGATGGCTCTGATGGCATCGCTGCGGAAGAAGGGATACGAGATTTGGAGCCGTGATATTACTCAGGCCTACACTCAATCGGCCACAGGGCTCACAAGGAAAATCCTGGCCTACCTACCAAAGGAAATGGCCAGCAAATACCCAAAAGGCACAATTATCGAAGTACTCAAGCCACTATATGGGCTCGCAGAATCGGGCACCCATTGGTGGGCCACATATCACGACTTTCACATCAATCAATTGTCGATGGTCACATCTACGTACGACCCGCGCCTGCTGGTCTCTGAGCACGAAGGCGACCAATTTGGCATCGTCGGAATGCAGACCGACGATACATTGGGCCTATCCGATGTCAACTTCATGAATAAGGAGGATGAGGAGCTCCAGAAAGCGGGCTTCGCAGCGAAGCCAAAAGAGGTCCTCACGACGAACACACCACTGACGTTCAACGGCGGGATTCTCACGATCGAGGGGGAAACCGTCGTCTTCCGGCAAAAGGGGCAGGGCGAGAAAATCACCCTCGTCGATCCGCACGCAATCGACGCCAAGAAGCGGTACAAGGCGGAGCTCGCGCGAGGGGCATACATTGCGAGCATATGCCAGCCCGAGGCGACTTTTGACTGCGCTAGAGCAGCGCAGGCCACAGAACCAAGCGAACGAGACGTCGAGGCACTCAACAAGCGGCTCAAGTGGCAGCAATCGAATCTCGATCGAGGCCTCGTCTACTACCCGGTCGACCTTGCGACCAGCAAGCTCTACGTCTTCGTTGATGGGTCATTTGCGAACAACGACGACCTCACTTCGCAATTGGGGTATATTATCATCCTAGCCAACGAGAGTATGGGCGAAAGCGAATTCACAATACATGGCAATGTAATCCACTACTCGTCAACCAAAAGTAAGCGGGTGACGAGAAGTGTGCTGGCGTCAGAAGTCTACGGCATGGTTAACGGCGTTGACCTCGCCCACGCGATTTCAACGACGCTGAGGAGGATCACCAATCGACTCAACCTTCCATCGATCCCAACGGTTGTCTGTACTGATTCCTACTCGCTGTACGAATGCCTCGTCAAATTGGGGACTACGAAGGAAAAGAGGCTCATGATCGATATCATGGCCCTCAGGCAATCGTACGAAAGGCGCGAGATACTCGAGATCCGTTGGATCAATGGTGACGACAACCTCGCCGACGCTTTCACGAAAGCAGCACCCAACAAGGGGTTGGAGCAATTCGTGGGCAGCGAAAAAGTCAACGTACGAATGGAGGGATGGGTCACACGAAAAGAGCAGAGAAAAGGGGGAAAAGGGGACGACCTGGCAGACGGGCCCGAGGTCGAATTACACCTCCAACCGCAGTAGTTAAAACGATAAAAGAAAGAGAAAGTCAGTGTCGGATTGGAAGTCCAATTCGACCTCGGCGTACGGCCGGCCGCGCAGGGGCCAATTACGGCCCCTACTACCGATTATCGCGGCCTGCCCAACCTACGGTTGGAACCTCCTTTTTACACCTACGCAGAAATTCATATAGTTCAATTGATCTCTTCGTCAACCCACGGTTCGAACCAATTACCCTGTAATAGGGATACCAACACAATGACACAGGCGTCAAGGGCGACCATGAGCGACAACAAGGCGGCCGTCGCCATGATGGCGAGATGATGCCGTGAGGGCTTCCATTGGGGTGGGTTTTGGCCGAGGGCATCATCTCCTAGCTCTCCAGAATGAACGCTCTGCGGACGATGGACGTACGGAGGCATATTGAAAGACAAAAGTAGATGGTTGTGCAAGAAGTACGGGTGCAGAATAACGAGAACTTATCAAGACGCAAATTTCGAGTCGGATCCAAAGGGCCTCTACCCTTATATAGCAGGAAGTGGTGTCAAAGTACCCACTCGGAAACGGAGACCGATGAGCGGCGGCAGAGGCGCTTCTGGTATCCAGACATCAGGCCCATCTACGGCGGATGGCTTACATATGATTATTGCGAGGAGTCAAACAAAAGCCTGTTTACGTTGCGAATGAATGAGAAAAGCCGCTCCTAGCCATGTAAACGGCAATATCCGGCGACCTTGAGAATGCTTCCAGCGCAAGGCTTCAACAGCAAATTATGGACACAAGTTGGATGGCTAGAATGTATAAGGCTCAACACGAGATCTAGAGAACTGACCGAA